AGAAGAGGAAGACATATAATGGTGATGACGTGCATGCACGTGGTCACGAACCATGCCTGGTGGGGTGGGAGGGATGAGGGGCGATATGAGGATACGACTTATGAGCTCTTGGGAGAGAAGAGGAAGACATATAATGGTGATGACGTGCATGCACGTGGTCACGAACCATGCCTGGTGGGGTGGGAGGGATGAGGGGCGATATGAGGATACGACTTATGAGCTCTTGGGAGAGAAGAGGAAGACATATAATGGTGATGACGTGCATGCACGTGGTCACGAACCATGCCTGGTGGGGTGGGAGGGATGAGGGGCGATATGAGGATACGACTTATGAGCTCTTGGGAGAGAAGAGGAAGACATATAATGGTGATGACGTGCATGCACGTGGTCACGAACCATGCCTGGTGGGGTGGGAGGGATGAGGGGCGATATGAGGATACGACTTATGAGCTCTTGGGAGAGAAGAGGAAGACATATAATGGTGATGACGTGCATGCACGTGGTCACGAACCATGCCTGGTGGGGTGGGAGGGATGAGGGGCGATATGAGGATACGACTTATGAGCTCTTGGGAGAGAAGAGGAAGACATATAATGGTGATGACGTGCATGCACGTGGTCACGAACCATGCCTGGTGGGGTGGGAGGGATGAGGGGCGATATGAGGATACGACTTATGAGCTCTTGGGAGAGAAGAGGAAGACATATAATGGTGATGACGTGCATGCACGTGGTCACGAACCATGCCTGGTGGGGTGGGAGGGATGAGGGGCGATATGAGGATACGACTTATGAGCTCTTGGGAGAGAAGAGGAAGACATATAATGGTGATGACGTGCATGCACGTGGTCACGAACCATGCCTGGTGGGGTGGGAGGGATGAGGGGCGATATGAGGATACGACTTATGAGCTCTTGGGAGAGAAGAGGAAGACATATAATGGTGATGACGTGCATGCACTGTGGTCACGAACCATGCCTGGTGGGGTGGGAGGGATGAGGGGCGATATGAGGATACGACTTATGAGCTCTTGGGAGAGAAGAGGAAGACATATAATGGTGATGACGTGCATGCATGTGGTCACGAACCATGCCTGGTGGGGTGGGAGGGATGAGGGGCGATATGAGGATACGACTTATGAGCTCTTGGGAGAGAAGAGGAAGACATATAATGGTGATGACGTGCATGCACGTGGTCACGAACCATGCCTGGTGGGGTGGGAGGGATGAGGGGCGATATGAGGATACGACTTATGAGCTCTTGGGAGAGAAGAGGAAGACATATAATGGTGATGACGTGCATGCACGTGGTCACGAACCATGCCTGGTGGGGTGGGAGGGATGAGGGGCGATATGAGGATACGACTTATGAGCTCTTGGGAGAGAAGAGGAAGACATATAATGGTGATGACGTGCATGCACGTGGTCACGAACCATGCCTGGTGGGGTGGGAGGGATGAGGGGCGATATGAGGATACGACTTATGAGCTCTTGGGAGAGAAGAGGAAGACATATAATGGTGATGACGTGCATGCACGTGGTCACGAACCATGCCTGGTGGGGTGGGAGGGATGAGGGGCGATATGAGGATACGACTTATGAGCTCTTGGGAGAGAAGAGGAAGACATATAATGGTGATGACGTGCATGCACGTGGTCACGAACCATGCCTGGTGGGGTGGGAGGGATGAGGGGCGATATGAGGATACGACTTATGAGCTCTTGGGAGAGAAGAGGAAGACATATAATGGTGATGACGTGCATGCACGTGGTCACGAACCATGCCTGGTGGGGTGGGAGGGATGAGGGGCGATATGAGGATACGACTTATGAGCTCTTGGGAGAGAAGAGGAAGACATATAATGGTGATGACGTGCATGCACGTGGTCACGAACCATGCCTGGTGGGGTGGGAGGGATGAGGGGCGATATGAGGATACGACTTATGAGCTCTTGGGAGAGAAGAGGAAGACATATAATGGTGATGACGTGCATGCACGTGGTCACGAACCATGCCTGGTGGGGTGGGAGGGATGAGGGGCGATATGAGGATACGACTTATGAGCTCTTGGGAGAGAAGAGGAAGACATATAATGGTGATGACGTGCATGCACGTGGTCACGAACCATGCCTGGTGGGGTGGGAGGGATGAGGGGCGATATGAGGATACGACTTATGAGCTCTTGGGAGAGAAGAGGAAGACATATAATGGTGATGACGTGCATGCACGTGGTCACGAACCATGCCTGGTGGGGTGGGAGGGATGAGGGGCGATATGAGGATACGACTTATGAGCTCTTGGGAGAGAAGAGGAAGACATATAATGGTGATGACGTGCATGCACGTGGTCACGAACCATGCCTGGTGGGGTGGGAGGGATGAGGGGCGATATGAGGATACGACTTATGAGCTCTTGGGAGAGAAGAGGAAGACATATAATGGTGATGACGTGCATGCACGTGGTCACGAACCATGCCTGGTGGGGTGGGAGGGATGAGGGGCGATATGAGGATACGACTTATGAGCTCTTGGGAGAGAAGAGGAAGACATATAATGGTGATGACGTGCATGCACGTGGTCACGAACCATGCCTGGTGGGGTGGGAGGGATGAGGGGCGATATGAGGATACGACTTATGAGCTCTTGGGAGAGAAGAGGAAGACATATAATGGTGATGACGTGCATGCACGTGGTCACGAACCATGCCTGGTGGGGTGGGAGGGATGAGGGGCGATATGAGGATACGACTTATGAGCTCTTGGGAGAGAAGAGGAAGACATATAATGGTGATGACGTGCATGCACGTGGTCACGAACCATGCCTGGTGGGGTGGGAGGGATGAGGGGCGATATGAGGATACGACTTATGAGCTCTTGGGAGAGAAGAGGAAGACATATAATGGTGATGACGTGCATGCACGTGGTCACGAACCATGCCTGGTGGGGTGGGAGGGATGAGGGGCGATATGAGGATACGACTTATGAGCTCTTGGGAGAGAAGAGGAAGACATATAATGGTGATGACGTGCATGCACGTGGTCACGAACCATGCCTGGTGGGGTGGGAGGGATGAGGGGCGATATGAGGATACGACTTATGAGCTCTTGGGAGAGAAGAGGAAGACATATAATGGTGATGACGTGCATGCACGTGGTCACGAACCATGCCTGGTGGGGTGGGAGGGATGAGGGGCGATATGAGGATACGACTTATGAGCTCTTGGGAGAGAAGAGGAAGACATATAATGGTGATGACGTGCATGCACGTGGTCACGAACCATGCCTGGTGGGGTGGGAGGGATGAGGGGCGATATGAGGATACGACTTATGAGCTCTTGGGAGAGAAGAGGAAGACATATAATGGTGATGACGTGCATGCACGTGGTCACGAACCATGCCTGGTGGGGTGGGAGGGATGAGGGGCGATATGAGGATACGACTTATGAGCTCTTGGGAGAGAAGAGGAAGACATATAATGGTGATGACGTGCATGCACGTGGTCACGAACCATGCCTGGTGGGGTGGGAGGGATGAGGGGCGATATGAGGATACGACTTATGAGCTCTTGGGAGAGAAGAGGAAGACATATAATGGTGATGACGTGCATGCACGTGGTCACGAACCATGCCTGGTGGGGTGGGAGGGATGAGGGGCGATATGAGGATACGACTTATGAGCTCTTGGGAGAGAAGAGGAAGACATATAATGGTGATGACGTGCATGCACGTGGTCACGAACCATGCCTGGTGGGGTGGGAGGGATGAGGGGCGATATGAGGATACGACTTATGAGCTCTTGGGGGAGAAGAGGAAGACATATAATGGTGATGACGTGCATGCACGTGGTCACGAACCATGCCTGGTGGGGTGGGAGGGATGAGGGGCGATATGAGGATACGACTTATGAGCTCTTGGGAGAGAAGAGGAAGACATATAATGGTGATGACGTGCATGCACGTGGTCACGAACCATGCCTGGTGGGGTGGGAGGGATGAGGGGCGATATGAGGATACGACTTATGAGCTCTTGGGAGAGAAGAGGAAGACATATAATGGTGATGACGTGCATGCACGTGGTCACGAACCATGCCTGGTGGGGTGGGAGGGATGAGGGGCGATATGAGGATACGACTTATGAGCTCTTGGGAGAGAAGAGGAAGACATATAATGGTGATGACGTGCATGCACGTGGTCACGAACCATGCCTGGTGGGGTGGGAGGGATGAGGGGCGATATGAGGATACGACTTATGAGCTCTTGGGAGAGAAGAGGAAGACATATAATGGTGATGACGTGCATGCACGTGGTCACGAACCATGCCTGGTGGAGTGAGAGAGATGAGGGCCGGGAGAAATGAGGCAGGCACATGGTGAATGAGAATGGCATGCATGCACCTTCGTCAGATGGTGACTAAGTCATCCCGTTATGACGAAGTCATCCCGTTATGCACCACCGCATACACCTTCTTGACTGTCTTTCCATGGAACCTGACAGAAAGGTTACTCTATCAGGGATAGAAATACAAAGTGTGTGCCACTCACTTGCATTCCCACAAGAAAGGTGTTGCTGAAGAAGAAGTCTCGAGCACCCAAAGAAAGGACCGACACCCAATTGTCTTTAGACATGTTTAAGAGCTCATTTCTTCAAGTGTGTCAGTCTCACTCTCAGCCCCTCAAAACGTTTTTCCTACCAGAAGGGGGTTGCTGAAGAAGTAGTCCCAAGCGCCCAGCGCATACACCTTCTTGACTGTCTTTTCGGGGACCCAAGATGACAGAAAAGAGAGCATCTATCAGGAGTGAAAGTGCAGTGCTAGGGGTGTGTCAGCTACAGCCAGCCAGCTGCCATCCCTTTCAGAAGGGGGTTGCTGAAGAAGTAGTCCCAAGCGCCCAGCGCATACACCCTCTAGACCTTGTTGCCACCCAAGTTGACAGAAAAGAGAGCATCTATCAGGAGTGAAAGTACCGTGCTAGGTGTGTGTCAGCTACAGCCAGCCATCTGTCATTCCTACCAGAAGGGGGTTGCTGAAGAAGTAGTCCCGGGCTCCCAGAGCATACACCCTCTTTGCACCGCCCGTCCACGCACCCACAAATGTGGCCCCGCAATCCAAGTGGCTCTGACGGAATGCAGGATTATTGGCAGAAGCACCAGAAAAAAACAAACAAGCTGAGGATAGCGAAGCAGATAGAGGCAGCATATGTGATATTTTTGCAGTCTTTTTTCATATATAAATATAATGGATGGTAACAGATGGACTTTAGGGTAAAGTAACAGCAGCATGGCACCCACCGAATGATTGCATGCCATGAAGAACATGCCACGATCCAATGGCAAATTCTCCGTGCCCTGTGTCTCCTGCTCATTGGCACATGCGACAAGGGAATGAGTCAGTAATTATACCACTGCCCACACTTGCATTACACTCCCCCTAGCATAACACTCCCCCTAGCATAAGACTCCCCCGAGCCACCCAGCCTCTTTTCTACAATCACACACAATATGATACAATAGTCACACTCACCTGAACCACACTTTTCCTATAATCACACGCACACCCAGTTGTGCAAGCCACCTTTTCCCTATGCTCCCACTCAAGATGAAAAAATAAGAAGAAGAAAAAAAGCTTCTTCCTGAAACCACGCTCACCTGAGCGAACCATCTCTCGTAGAGCCATCTCCCCCACAGCCAGAACAGCCGCTCCTCCACCCCGCTGACGTAACCCCAAACCATCCCCATCAACTGACGTAACCAGTGATGGTAACCGGACCGACCTTTTCTCTCACCTGAGCGAACCAGCTCTCGTAGAGCCATCTCCCCCACAGCCAAAACAACCGCTCCACAACGCCCCATCCACAGACGTAACCAGTGATGGTAACCGGGACCGACCTTTTCTCACCTGAGCGAACCAGCTCTCGTACAGCCATCTCCCCCACAGCCAGAACAGCCGCTCCACAACCCCCTCCTTTCCAATGCTGTATCCATCAACCACCAATCCATCCCCATCCGCCGACGTAACCCGTGCTGGTAACCGGGATCGATTCTTTCTCGCCTGTCGAATCAATCTGGCCTGTATACGCCTCTGGAGGTTCCGAGGGGAGCTTCTCCTCGTGCTCGTGCTGCTGGAAGGATCTCCGGATTCGCCGGGCTTTTCAAGGTCCACAGCAGCACTTCCTTGAGATTCGCCGGGCTTTTCAAGGTCTCCTTTTTTTAGCTCCAGAACCTCTCGAGACTCACTGAGCGTTCCAGAATCGGCACTTTTTCCCGGCTCTTCGCTCGCGGAAATGTCTGGTCTGCTGGAACTCTCTTGTTCGACTGCTTCGCTTGTGTCGGAGCTTTCGCCTTGAGCGAAACGCTCTGCGTTTGCGATGGAGACGCCTGACGTTGACGGAAGCTGGTCGCTGACGTTGACGCTAACGGGACAAAGCCCTCCGTTACAGTCAGATTTGCTCGTTCGAGCGTCGGAGACGGAATGCAGGTTTCGCGGGGGGTGTTTCTCGCGTGTGCGTGCATCTGAAGAGCAGCCAATGTCAACCAACCGGGCATTCGTAAGCCTTGGTGGGATTCCAGCATCGGTTCTGTCAGTTTTAGCTGAGATGTGGCTGCTTGAACTGCGTACCACAAAATGAGGAAGAGGAAGCGACGACATTGGGACCAGGGACGAGGAACGTAGTTAACTTCTGGTTCGTCTCAGGCCACACTCGGACCGGCTAATGCGACGAATGCAGAAAGAAGACAGTTTATCACCAGGCAGGAACGACACGAGCAGAATTCAGCTAAGAATGTGCGAGGTGTGAAGCCACCATAATCAGAGAAGCAACTCGGTTCCTACATCTCTGGTAACTAGACGATTGTCCGAACGAATCTTGCACTTCTGCCGTCCGGTTTTGTCAGTGGGTAAGTGCGTGTCCGACAATACGTCCGAATGCGGCTCAATGGTGCCTAGTACGATCTACAGCGGTTTATAAACATTGTAATATGGTTTGGTAGGGTAGTTTGCACTTCACGGTACCATTGGAATCGCCCTATTGTCTCCCTGACAGTTCCCTCTCTGTGCGGGGATCCCTAGGAGCGACTTGTCAGGGAAAGCTGAGTTCCTCGCCGGCAGGCGCAAAACCCGTCGTAAGCAGCATTCGGATTGGTTAAAGCGACGGTGCACATTTGCCACCCGAAACCCAGAACCCTGGCGAACTGTTACTGCGGATGGAAAGTGTCCGCACGAAATCCTGGTTTTCGCCAGCCAGCACTTTCGCGCTGGCAAGCCTGGTTCAAAAAAAAAACTTCTGAACCCAACACTGCCAAAAGTTGCCCGTCGCTTTAATCGACGTAAGATGTACGGCATCGATGCACCTGAAGGCTTTCTTGGTGCAGGAAGCAGGGAGAAATTCACTTGTGAATAAACTGCCAGATTGTTTGAAAGTAGAATATATATTCCTTGTACATAAGCTCAAAATGTTAGGAAATAGATCCTAGTGAACTGCAGCATGAGTTGTTAGACTAAACTGTATCAATTAGGTCCATCAACCAAATTAAAAATGCAATTCATATCTGCCATGCACAGGTTGCACTAGTACCTGCAACCATCACCTTCACAAAACTCCACCTTTCTGTCAACCCCAATACTTCTCAAACTCCACAGCTGAAGACTTAGACTTCCTCCTTATTGAAGTGATCGCCATTCTTTCTCCCTCCACATCCACTGGTTCCTTGACCCGAAACCCAGCTCCAGCTCCAGACTCTACTGTTTGGCCAGCATTCGAAAACATCAACTTTTTCCAGCTGCTGCTGCACCCGTCCCTACCCACTGGTGTCTCAACAATCCACAGCAGCGTCCACCTAAGCGCCTGTTACACCTCCAGCCAATCCCTCTGCAACAGCTGCTTCATCAGCCCCTGCTACAGCTGCAGTCTCAAATTCATTCCGCCACTCCCTCTCCCATAACTGCTGTCCCAGCTTCATTCAGCCTCTCCCCGCTACAGCTGCAGGTTCAGCTTCATTCAGCCACTCCCTCTGCTACAGCTGGAGGTTCAGCTTCATTCAGCCACTCCCTCTGCTACAGCTGCAGGTTCAGCTTCATTCAGCCACTCCCTCTGCTACAGCTGCAGCTTCAGCTTCATTCAGCCACTCCCTCTGCTACAGCTGCTATCTCAGCCTGTGGCAGCCCAGCCTCTGCAAACTCAACCGCTGCAGGCTCAGCCTCTCCTGCAAATACCCCCTCTGCTACAGCTGCAGGCTCAGCCACAGCAGCAGTTCCAGTGGTGCCCTCTGCTTCTATTTCTGTTGCAACCGCAGCCTCTGCTACAGGTGCCTCGGTTCCCGCCCCTGTCACTGCTGCTCCTGCTTCCTCTGCTATGGTTGCCTCCACTCCACCCTGCGCTGCTGCCTCTGCTACAGCTGCTGCTGCATCCTCTGCTACAGGTGTTGTTGCCTTCTCTGCTACAGCTGCTGCTGCTGCTGCCTCCTCTGCTGCAGGTGCTGCTGCTGCCTCCTCTGCTACAGGTGCTGCTGCTGCCTCCTCTGCTACAGGTGCTGCTGCTGCCTCCTCTGCTGCAGGTGCTGCTGCCTCCTCTGCTACGGGCCATGGCTCACCAGCTGCCCCTGCCACTGAACCTTCCACTGCCTCTGCTGCTACTTCTGCCTCTGCTGCTGCTTGCACCTCTCCTTGTCCTCCCCCTTCCCTATGCCCCTGCACCTCCCCTTCCACCTCACCCGCCCTCCCCTCTCCGCCCTCTGTTCCAATTGCAACAATCATAGCTTCATCCATTCCCATCTCCTCCATCCGTTGAGGCACCTCAACAGCCACCTCAGCGGGCACCTGATCAGACACCTGACCAGGCGCCTCAGAAATTGTTCCAGTGGCCACAACCACAGTCGCCTCATCCATACCCATCTCCTCCATCACTGCATTGGCTACCTCAATCTGCGACGCGGTTACCTCAAACTGCGACACGGTTACGTCAATCTGTGACTCTGTAACCTCCATATGAGCAGCATCAATTTGTGAGTCTGTCACCTCCATATGAGCTGCTTCGATATGTGAGCCTGTCACCTCCATACTATGAGTTGCTTCAATATGTGATCCTGTTGCCTCGATATCAGATGCCTGATGGCTGTGTAACTCCATCCCCTCCATGCGAGTTGCCTCAAAAGCCATGTCTATTTGCGATGCTGTCAGTTCCATCTGTGACGCTGTTACCTCCATCTGAGACACTGTCAATTCCTCCTGAGGTGTTGTTTCCACCTGAGGTGCTGTTGTTTCCACCTGAGGCACTGTTGTATCCACCTGAGGTGCTGTTGTTTCTACCTGAGGCACTGTTGTATCCATCTGGGGTGCTGCTGTTTCCGCCTGAGGCACTGCTGTTTCCGCCTGAGGCACTGTTGTTTCCACCTGAGGCACTGCTGTTTCCACCTGAGTCGCTGTTTCCACCTGAGGCGCTGCTGCTTCAGTCACGCCTAACGCCCCTCCCAAAACTGCCCTTGGTTCTTGAGTTTCTACCACAGAAACCACCTTCTCCCCTGCCTTACCCTCCTCAATCACCTCCTCTTCCTCCTCCATGTCCTCCTCTGGCATGTAGTTATCCTCTCCAATCACCAGAATGCTCTCCACGCCCTTCCACACCAGCACTTCCAACAAGGAGTGCTCCGTGCCTTCATACTCCACCTGCGAGAGTGTGAGGAAAAAAGGGGAACATCAGCAATCAACATGTCCTCCTCTGGCATGTAGTTATCCTCTCCAATCACCAGAATGCTCTCCACGCCCTTCCACACCAGCACTTCAAGGAGCGAGTGCTCTGTGCCCTCGTACTTCACCTGAAAGCGGGAAATGAAGGAAGGAGCAACAAAGAATCTTATTAACCTTCCCCACCACCAGAGTGCTCTCCTTGGCCTTCCACACCGGCGATTCAAGGAGCTGGTGCTCCGTGCCTTTATAATCCACCTGTGAGCGTGTGAGCCGCAGGAACATTAGAAATCACATTATCCTCCTCAATCAACAGTTTAAAAATCTTACTCTACCCCTCACCCGACAAAAGCTCGCCAAGCCAGTTCTTAGTGCATGCACGCACCATGTATATCTTGGTTTCTTCATCGAAAGCAGTGATCTTCCCCTCAGTCAGCACTCCCTCAAAGTCCTTCATCACTCTTCACCCCTGCATGCAACCCCCCATTCGGCCTGCCTTCTATGCATAGACTCACCGTGTATTTCTTGGTATCTTCATCAAAAGCAGTGATCTTCCCTTCAGTCAGCACTCCCTCAAAGTCCTTCAGCACACTCCTCCCCCGTGCATGTAACCCTCGTTCCCCCTGCCTTCTACGCATGCACGCACCCTGTAGTTCTTTGTTTCTTCATCGAAAGCAGTGATCTTCCCCTCAGTCAGCACTCCCTCAAAATCCTTGAGCACGCACTTCACCCCTGCATGCAACCCCCCTTCCCCCTGCCCTCAATGCATGAACTCACCGTGTATTTCTTGGTATCTTCATCAAAAGCGGTGATCTTCCCTTCAGTCAGCACTCCCTCAAAGTCCTTCAGCACACTCTTCCCCACCACCTTCGCGCCAGGCCCTGGCACAACCGCTTCCGCCACACCATTACCCCTCCCCAGCGCCCCATGTGCTCCCATCATCCACCCCTCCCCTCCCCCCATCATGCCACCACCCCCCCAGTCGCCCGCGCCCAACCAATCGGCATCATCTCCTGGGTAATTTCCGTTTCCAGTGCCGAAATAGCCCTCGGTATAAGCCCAAGCACCGCCCATCGCACTCCTCCCTCGTCCTCGCCCTCTTCCCCTCCCTCTCCCTCTCCCTCTCCCCCTCCCCCTCCCCCTCCCTCTCCCCCTACCTCTTCCCCTACCTCTCCCTCTCCCTCTCCTCCCTCCACTTCCCCATACGCCCATCTGATCATCCCAATACACTCCTCCTGGACTATAATCCTCGTCTTCCCCTCCTCTTCCTCCCCCTCTCCCTCCCCCTCTCCCTCCTCCTCCTGCTGGTGCTGCTGCTGAAGCGCTCTGATACAGCCCCACGTCTACCCCTTGGTAATCCCCATCGCCTGCTGCCCCAAAATTCCCCACATGATGAATCCTGATACCAGAACCATCATACAACCCAGCAGTACCTACCCCAGTAGAGCCTACCCCACTTCCCCCCTTTCCCCGCTTGCTGTGAGGCCCTATTTCCTCTTCTCCCCCACGCGCCACAGATTCCGGATATAAAATTATATCTTCTCCTGGATCCCGCACACGCTTTCCCAGTGCTGTGAGTGCAGTCTGGGTCTGCCCGGGAGTAGTAACAGCGGCAGGAGCAGCAGCAGCAAGAGGAGGAGGAGCAGCAGCAGGAACGGCAGAAGCCGGCTTAGCAGCAGGAGCAGGAGCACGGGCGGCAACAGGCGGTTTGGCAGCAGGAGCAGGAGCAGGTGTTGTAACAGCTGCTGCAGTGGCAGCAGGAGGAGCAGAAACAGCAGCGGCTGCTATAGAGACAGGAGGAGGGGCAGCAGCAACAGCCGGATCCACTGCAGGAGTAGGCGCAGCAGCAACAGCAGGGATAGCAGCAGCAGAGGTGCTGTCTGGGTTCTTCCGCGGTCTGCCCCTGCCCCTCGCTGCTCCGCCCCTGCCTCCTCCCCCCGGCCTGCTTGGCGTTGCCTCTTCCGCAGCTGCCTCCGTGCGTTCATCCATCAACGTCGCCTTGTTGGCCTCGGACCTGAGGGGGAGGAGGAGGTGGGGAGGGGCGAGGGAATGCACAAGCACCATCAACACGAAAAGCAACGTTAGGCGTTGCCTCCTCAGCGGCTACCTCCGTGCGTTCATTCATCAACGTCGCCTTGTTGGCCTCGGACCTGAGGGGGAGGAGGAGGTGGGGAGGGGCGAGGGAATGCACAAGCACCATCAACACGAAAAGCAACATTAGGCGTTGGCTCCTCAGCCGCTACCTCCGTGCGTTCATCCATCAACGTCGCCTTGTTGGCCTCGGACCTGAGGGGGAGGAGGAGGTGGGGAGGGGCGAGGGAATGCACAAGCACCATCAACACGAAAAGCAACGTTAGGCGTTGCCTCCTCAGCGGCTACCTCCGTGCGTTCATCCATCAACGTTGCCTTGTTGGTCTCGGACCTGAGGTGGGGGGGGGGGAAGGGGAGGGGGGAAGGGGAGGGGAGGGAATGCACAAGCACCATCAGCGTGCAAAGCACCATCAGCGTGCAAAGCACCATCAGCGTGCAAAGCACCATCAGCGTGCAAAGCACCATCAGCGTGCAAAGCACCACCAGGAGGTGACTCATCCACGGCTACCTCCGTCCGCTCATCCAGCAGCGTCACCTCGCGGGCCTCAGACTGGGGGAAGCGGAGAGGGCGAAAAGGATCGAAGGGGACGCACAAGCACCAGCAGCGCGAAAGCACCACTCGAACTCAAAAGCAACGGCGTGCGTTGACTGTCGGATACCTACCTCAGTCCGTTCATCCAGCAACATGGCTTTGTTGGCTTCAAACCCGAAAATACTTTTGAGTCGACTCAAAAGTCAACTCTTTTTTAGTCGACTCCAAAGTCAACTCGTGCGTTGACTATTGGTTACTTACCTCTGTCCGTTCATCCAGCAACATGGCTTCGTTGGCTTCAAACCCGAGAAAAGAGAGCCAGACGCAAACTCAATGTCACCTGGGAATAAACTAACAACCTCCGTCCTCCACCTGACCCCATCCGCTAACCTTCCCGAGCGATTTTTTTTTTTTTTTTTTCCCTGCGGCGTCTTTAAAACTGACCCCGGCTTTTCCTTTTCCCACCCTAGCCCGGTGCGATACACTCAACTTTACCTACCCCTCCTTCCTCCATTACCCGTTTCCACCCTCCCCACAATAGCAAGAGCCCGCGATTGTACTTCAACAACCAGTGTAATAAAGCGCCTTCTTTTTTTTGTCAGACAAACATACACATTCCTAAAATCTCAAACGTTAACCCGAACCCACTCACCAGGTCTCGATGTCCGCGTTAGCAGCCGTTTCCTCTTCCCCCGATAATAGCAACTTCTCCACCTCAGGAACCTCCAGATCCTCCGCATCACCATCCTCATATCGAACCTGCCAGAACCGCGTACACGGACGCATAGAGAACCACCATAGCATGCAAAGATAGGAATGGCAATCCAACCCCCTCATATAGTGACTCGCCGACCTGACACCCTTTTCCTGACAAAGAACGTGAAGGGGGGATGCGGACACGAACCGTGCACACATAAGCAACTTTCGAACCAGCACGTGTGATATACACGATCATATCCGCCTCGAAACAGCACAGAACGGCTCTCACCTTGTACCAGTTCTCCTCGCGGTCATAGTGGAACACTCTCCCGAGGTACGGCACGCCGCCGAAGCTCTTCCGAACGAGACGGCCCAAATACACCACACCAGCAGGAGGTGCCGCAACGTCCTTGCCCTGTATCGAAGCTCCACCTCCGGCAACCGGCGCACTGCCATCTACGTCCATGATATCCACGTCCCCTTCTTCCCCGTCCTTTCCACCCTCCCCGCCATCCACGCCATGTGTAGCGGCTGGTGGGACAGATGTAACGGCCGGTTCGGCTGCTGCAGCGGGTGGTTCGATGTCTACAGCCCACGGATCGTCAGCAATTGCAGCGTCGCCCTCAGCCGGGGGCTCACTGTCAGCGGTTTTCTCGGCCTTTTCACCGACAACAGGTTTGACAACTTCGTCGGTCGTGGTCGCAACAGCAGCCTTGGAAGCGTCGGCTTTAGAGTCGACGTCAGTTTTATCCTCGACAACAGCTGTATCGGACTTTGACGGAACCTCCGCTTTGACTTCAGCGTCCGTATTGGTGTTATTTTCGATATCGGTCTTCTCTCTGGTACTAGCCGTGACCCGTCCCACTACGCCAGCTACAGTACTAGCATCAACCTTAGCATCAACGTCAGACTTAGTGTCATCGCCAACACCAAAGTTAGTTTCACCGCCAACTGGAACTTCAGAATCGGTTTTAGCGTCTGGTCCAGCCATGTTCGCAGGAACACTTGTAGCGTCAGTCCCTGCTACGGCTACAGCTGCAGCAGCTGCTGCAGTACTGGCTTCAGGGGGAGCATCACTAACAGAGGGAAATGCTTCCGGAACAGGTGCGGTCGTGGAAGCGTTTTGCTGCTGCGTCGATGCGTTCACAAGCGGGTCTTCCGCAACGGATGGAGGTTCGGAGTTACTTATAGTGCTGTTGTCCATTGTTACTAGACAGTGGGAATAACCCTAGGCACTTATGAGATACTTGCGGTGGTGATTGAATTCACTTCACTACAGAAAAGCTAACGCTCGACAGGACTGTCGTTATGGCTGCCTCGTGCTGACGAAGCCGCGCTCCCGTCTTGTGACCACGCGTCCTGTGAGTGGTTATGCCTTCAACAGACGAATGCAAAAGCAGGAAAGCAAACAATTCCCTTGGTTTGGTACGGTAATCACGAAGTGCTTGCTGGGCTCGGGGCGCACAAGCAAGTAGGGTGGTGGAGAACAAAGAGCAATCGAGGAGGGCTCGAGTGGAGAAGAAGGGTTGATGATTGGGAAATGCACGGAGTAGGGATCGTCACTATCGACGGCTTAGCGTGGAGAACGGAACTTTTAGCACCTTGGATTTCCAAGAATGCTCCCTTGCTTCAAAATTTCGAACTGCAAGCCACCTAATGTTGGGGGTGCGAGCTTATGTCTCTAAAGGCTGATTCAGGTCACACTATATTGCATAAACAGAAAAGATAAACCTAAGGATAGCATGACATCAACATATTTTCTTCACGGTGTAAAGCTCGCATGAATTTGATCAAAAAAAGGTTTTAGAGGTAAACTTTATAAATTAATGCATGCAGAAGAGAAACAATCACTGAATCGACAGTTGTTTCTATAAATGCATGCATTGAAAAAATCATGTTTTAGGATAGAATACACCATAACATGCATCATATCCACAGTTGTGACTGATTGAAAAAAAAAACATATTTTATACCTGCTGTTAAACAGACAGGCGGGAAGGCTGTTAAAGCCGTGGCCCAACTATCAACTTCAACTTCAAAGTATTATAGCTTGGAAGAGGTTGACCCAGGCAGTTCAGAGCCGAGAAGTTTGTCCTCTTCTGGTTTTCCAGTTTTTTCGTCCAATAGAATTCAAGTTACTCACATGCCATTTTTGTCCCCCTACTGTTCCTAAGAAGTTGCACCCCGCCTTTAAGAGGTATATCCGTGGATCCACCAAACCATCTCTCAGGTCTTTACAGCTAGATGTTGCAAGTTGACGGCATTGACAAACGAGAAACAAGGTTCTTCCGAAATCTTGGGGAATTTTTGACAGATTCCTGGTTGGTAGTCCTAGAAAAATCCGATCTTTCACCCTGCTTGGTCGGTCGAATCACTTCCGGCAGCTTCGCCGTGGGAACTTTTGATTTGCCAACGTCTAACCCAATCACCGTGATGCTTACCGTTGATTTTCCCACCAAACCACCAGACGTGGCGCACAAATCGACGCGCAGCTGTGTGCGTTAGTCAAGTCCCCTTTCCGCCCATTGGATTATTTTCTGGTTCACGCCATTTCACACCCCATCTGTGTTGCGTCACGCCATATTCAGCGTTGCCCCTATTTAGCTAATCTCCTTGGATGTACCCATGGTGGAGAGAGAATTACTGTAGAACCCTGTTCAGTGATTCGTTCTTACTCGCGTGGCCTCGAATTACTCGAGTGGCCACCAGAATTGGTGATAATTACTCGAGTGGCCACGCCAGGGGATTCCCGCTGCCTTTTCTTTTCCCGGCGCATTACCCTAAGAGGGTTTGTAGCCCTGAAATGCACCGTTCGCACGAGTATCATCCCGCAATAGTGTTTCTTACTGTTTCCCACCCGAAAATTTCGCCAGGGTGGCGGGCGCGAACGTGGCCAGCTAACTGTACAAAAAACCGACAAATATTCCGACCAACAGTACATGCGCGCTCAATTTCGAGCAAATGCGCGACCAATGAGCGCTAGGTCAAACAAATCCTTACCCAATCAGCGATCGAGCAAATAAATCCCCGATCATATACTTCTACTGATACTCGTGCGAACGGTGCATTTCGGGGCTACAAACCTTCTTAGGGTAATGCGCCGGAAACAAAAAGGCAGCGGGAGTCCCCTGGCGTGGCCACTCGAGTAATTATCACCAAATTTGGTGGCCACTCGAGTAATTCGAAGCCACACGAGTAAGGACGAATCACCGAACAAGGTTCTACAGTAATTCTCTCCATGGTGGAGGATCATGTAGCAGTGGGTGGGAGTTCGAGCTCCCCATTTTTTTGCAGGTTGCATCATTCCAGAACGTACGTATGTTTAGCTCCCCTTTTTGTTATCTTCCCGAACGGATGTTCTGCTGCTGCATCCCCAAATGCTGCCTGCAACCAACCCAATCATCACACCGTGATCTCTTGATTCTCACATCCCCATCACATACAAGTGTTCCTGCTTAGAGGCCCTCGTTGAGAGAGTCCCTTTTCCCCCCTGAGTAGAATTTTCCGATATCGCCTAGGGTTGGCCCGACCCCTATAGTCCCGTTTTTGGCGGGAAATTTTGCAGCTTGACCGAATCATTGCACGAATCAGCTCCGCAGCCAATCAGAGGCTCCAGATCAAACCAGCCCAACATTCAAAGAGAACGATGAAAAAGGGATCATCGATTCGATATTTTAACTTTTTAATTGTAACTAATTGTTTCTCTTGACCGCGACTAATTCTCAATCCTGTCGCGCTGTCTCCAGCGCGATCGACGATGACATCTCATTTATCTCGCTTACATGGTAGAAACGAAGTTTTTGGGTTACTATTCGACCCCCAAACCATAGTTGATTTTGTTTTGTCGCATGACCGTTAGTCATGCGACATTGATCAGCGTGGAAAACCGTGCGACTGGAAGTTGAAGCAAGCGCGGTTCAAATCTACGTAAATGCCAAACTCCAGAAACTAGTAGCGAAACAACCATTCTTCATGCAATTTTCCTGAATGGGACTATAAGTATCGCGTTTGCCTGGGGTTTGAAGGGTTTGCCACATAGTCCGCGCGCGGCGATGTTGATCCGTCGGACTATAAACGAGAACATCTGTAACAACCTCCACATGCCGCCCCATTGATTTGACACACATCACCACCACCACCACCACACCACCATTCAACCAGCCCAACGAACCAACCCGCGTTCCCGCGGAGACCTCCCGCAAGTGCCCCTTTTGTCCCCAACCCCACCCAATCAAGAACCAGCTGCGCAGCTGCTAGTGCTACGACTGCGTGCGGTAGCCCCCGCGGGCTGACGTCATTCTCCCAGCTGTGACATTGGCCCCTCGTGTTCCTTTCCCATCTCACATTTCCCAAGTGGGCAACACGAACGAAGCAGCTGCTGGCAGCGCACATCGTAGCATTCCACCGTCACATCTGAACCGTCAATCGTTTTCGATTTTACGTATCGCACGCGCCACCATCATCCTAACGGTGATGGGGAACTGAAATTCGCGTGAATTTCGAAGCGAAGTGATGTTTCTTCCCCGCTGCTTTCTTTCCCCTCCGACCAACTTCGACGAGCAGCCGTTTCTTGTTTCAACGAGTCAGTTGTGTCTAGCCAGCTGTGAAGCTGTCAAGCTTTCGTCGAATTCGTGGAAACCATTAGTCGGCATTTCCAGAGTTGTCGACCACCGGCATATTCTGCCTTTCCAGCGGAAGTCTTCTGCTGCGCCAAAGCTGGAAGGTGGTATTATCGAGCTCAGCGCAATACGTCACAAGAGTTAACTGAATAACAAACAAGCAAAAAGGAAATATCCCTCTTTCGAGAGTAGCCTAGGCGCACACGTCTCCGAGTTGAAGCATTTGACAACGTTCATGTACTCGCCATGTATTTCAACATCTCTACCCAGTGGGTGTCAGTAGTTTCGACATTTTCTGGGTGTTCGTGAGCTCATGAACGCCGTGCATGTGACGCAATGCGATGTGCTTGCAGCGGTGGCTGCGATTTTAGCGGCTGCACGTGCTATGGCAAGCTAGAGCTACTACCGTAGCGAGGGTCAAGGTGTATACAGGCAGAGTTGACCAGTAAGTCGACTCGAAAGTCACCAGAGCGAGAGTAGTGAGAAGTATCAACCTCCGTCCGAGCAGAACTAAATAGCATGGATCAACAGCCCCCGGACCGCAGGTGTTTTAATCAGAACGTCAGAAGCCCAGGTTGCAACGAATGCGCCGCCGCCGAAGCAGGCAGCGGCAGTAGCAGCGGCTCTACTTTAGTCGCGTCTGTAGTCACGCCTTTGGCCAGCGATTCTCCTATAGTCCCTTCATCTGCTGTCATTTCTCCTCCGGCTCGTGAGCGACTCGAGAGAAGAAGTAGCGAGAAGGGGAAAGCGGAAGCGGAAACGGAAGTTGAAGCGGAAGCGGAAGGGGAGACGGAAGCGGAAGCCAGGCGCTTGCTGCTCGCGCGCGGCGACAATGTCGAGATCGTGATTGACGGCCAGGATTCGAGTTTCGACGGCGCCAACGCCGCCACCGGGCAAAGATCCGACGGCGTCCGCAGCAGCGGATGCTTCGGCGTGACAACAACGAGCGCGAGCGCAGCGTGGTCAAGCGCGCGACTGACGCACTGCTTCGTTAATAACAGTCCCGCTACAAGCAGCTCCGATAGCAGGTTCGGTTCCAGCACGAGTAACGCCTCCGCAGCCAGCAGCAGCAGCAGCGGCAGCAGCGGCAGCTCCAGTAACTCTAGTCCGGGCCGTGCGGACGATGACGTCAGCAGCCGCGGCGGCGAGCATGCGCTTGGCCCCGAGTTTGTGGACGCGGGGGGCGCGCAGTCGGCGGAGAGCGCGGGCGGAAGAGGTAGCGCGGAGGAAAGGTCGCGCGGGAGAGGGTCCGCGCAGAGAATGTGGTTCGGCGCGCGCGCATCATCCACAAGCGGCTCAACGAGGGGCGTGCGGCGCGCGGAGGGGGCGGAAGGGGAGGCGCGGGGAAGGAGCAGGAGCGGAACGAGGGGGGCCGTGCGGAGAGCTGCGGCGGATTCAGCTAACGCGCATGAGGGGGACGATGAGGGGGGAGGGGGAGAGGGAGGCGCAAGGAGAGGCCGCGGGGAGCGCGGGGGTGGGGAAAGCGGGCGGGGGGCTGGGGGGAGCAGGCCGCGGGAGGGGGGCGGGGAACTGGGGGATGGGCGGACGAACGGGGATGCGGAACAAGGGGAGAGCGAAAGTAGCGATCAGCGTCCGCTATCTGTTGTGATACATGGGCCTGGATCGTCGTTCTTTGTTGGAACGCAGGTTGTTTATAACGGGGATGGGGGCCAAGGGCGGGACGGGAGCAAAGGGGAACGTAGCAAGAGTAAAAGTCCCGTTAAAGAGATGAAGGATAAGCACAAAATTGATGCCGATACAGGGGCTTGTAACGGGGATACAGGAGCATCCTCGGAGTGTATTATATTAGAGAAATCCTGCAGCACTTCCTGCCACGCTGAGGCGTATAACGGGGCTGTGACAAACGCGTACTATGACCCGGCGGAAGGCAGCCACACGAGGGAAGGGGAGGAGAGTGACGGCAGCTGTAGCAGCAACTGTAGCAGCAATTGGAGCAGTTACTGTAGCGACGACAGCAGCTGTAGCGGCGGGGGAGGCAAGGGCGGCGGGCTTAGAGAGAAACGTGGTGGCGTTGGGGGCGTGGACGGGGGCGATTTGATAGACTTCCAATTCGGTAAGGATATAAGAGCACTGAAAGTGATAGTAATATTGCCACATATAGTAGCATTGCCAGAAATAGTAGTACAATCTTATGTAAGCGGTGACCCAATTTAGCATATCCCAGTTCACTGAATCCGTTTATAAAACTCTAATACCCTTCAAGCCGGTCTTGATTCAGTGTATCCCCCCTGTACCTACGCCCTTAGACAACTCAATGTGCCCCCTCCCCACCAGCCCAACTTTCCCCCCCTCCGCCCCCAAATCCCCCCCACCCAGTGAGCGCGTCGGGCAAATCAGAGGGTTCCCCGTGGATAGAGGCGGTGCACCTGGTGCTGCCACCTGTCATCCCGCGGTCCTCCTCCCAGGCCACGTGGGACGCGCTACAGGCGCCAGACGGCACAGCTGGCATGGAGCCTATACTGGACGGCAAATGGGAGGCGGGCTTTAAGAGGACCAAGCGGGTGTTCTCGTGCCTGCTGCTTCTGGGCTGTCTCCTCTATATCGCCGCCTTTCTATGTGAGTTCACACCTGGAAAAAGGGCTTGGGGGTGCCTTTCTCTGTGAGTTCACACCTGGAAAAAGGGCTTGGGGGTGCCTTTCTCTGTGAGTTCACACCTGGAAAAAGGGCTTGGGGGTGCCTTTCTCTGTGAGTTCACACCTGGAAAAAGGGCTTGGGGGTGCCTTTCTCTGTGAGTTCACACCTGGAAAAAGGGCTTGGGGGTGCCTTTCTCTGTGAGTTCACACCTGGAAAAAGGGCTTGGGGGTGCCTTTCTCTGTGAGTTCACACCTGGAACAAGGGCTTGGGGGTGCCTTTCTCTGTGAGTTCACACCTGGAAAAAGGGCTTGGGGGTGCCTTTCTCTGTGAGTTCACACCCCAGACGCTCCTCCTCCCAGGCCACGTGGGATGCGCTACAGGCGCCAGACGGCACAGCTGGCATGGAGCCGCTGCTGGACGCTAAATGGGAGGCGGGCCTTAAGAGGACCAAGCGGGTGTTCTCGTGCCTGCTGCTGCTGGGCTGCCTCGTTTACATTGCTGCCTTCCTCTGTAAGTGCTCATCCAGTCCGGACGAGCAAGTGCACGGTGGGTGAGACTGCAAGGTGAGCGCCTGTCATCCGGCACTCCTCCTCCCAGGCCACGTGGGATGCGCTACAGGCGCCAGACGGCACAGCTGGCATGGAGCCGCTGCTGGACGCTAAATGGGAGGCGGGCCTTAAGAGGACCAAGCGGGTGTTCTCGTGCCTGCTGCTGCTGGGCTGCCTCGTTTACATTGCTGCCTTCCTCTGTAAGTGCTCATCCAGTCCGGACGAGCAAGTGCACGGTGGGTGAGACTGCAAGGTGAGCGCCTGTCATCCGGCACTCCTCCTCCCAGGCCACGTGGGATGCGCTACAGGCGCCAGACGGCACAGCTGGCATGGAGCCGCTGCTGGACGCTAAATGGGAGGCGGGCCTTAAGAGGACCAAGCGGGTGTTCTCGTGCCTGCTGCTGCTGGGCTGCCTCGTTTACATTGCTGCCTTCCTCTGTAAGTGCTCATCCAGTCCGGACGAGCAAGTGCACGGTGGGTGAGACTGCAAGGTGAGCGCCTGTCATCCGGCACTCCTCCTCCCAGGCCACGTGGGATGCGCTACAGGCGCCAAACGGCACAGCTGGCATGGAGCCTATACTGGACGGCAAATGGGAGGCGGGCTTTAAGAGGACCAAGAGGGCGTTCGCGTGCCTGTTGCTGCTGGGCTGTCTCCTCTATATCGCCGCCTTTCTCTGTGAGTGCACGTCGAACCTGTGAGTGCACAACCAGGAGATGGTGGTCGTCTCATTTTCAGGCAATGTTTGCGGCACCTCAAAACGGGCCTCAAAACGGACGTCAGAATCTACCTCAGAACGTGACTCAGAACAAGCCTCAGAACGGCACAGCTGGCATGGAGCCTCTGCTGGACGGCAAGTGGGAGGCGGGCTTACGTGCCTGCTGCTGCTGGGTTGCCTCCTCTATATTTCTGCCTTTCTCTCTGATTTGACTCAAACTTTACCTCCTCTTCCTCCTAAAAAAAAATAAAAAAGTGTTTTCTAAACACCGTTTACCTGGTGAGCCCCTCTTCGCCTCTCGCCACCTCTCTTCACCCTACTGATCCCCGTTCATTCCTCCACCCTTGTGTCTCCCTGTGCCTCCCAGCCGGCATCATTGTCAACAGCACCACTTAAGGCAATATTTGCTACTGTCGCCAATGCCGTTCCCCCTGCTTCTCCCCTTGTGTGTCGCCAATGCTGTTCCCCCTGCTTCTCCCCTTGTGTGTCTCCAATGCTGTTCCCCCTGCTTCTCCCCTTGTGTGTCTCCAATGCTGTTCCCCCTGCTTCTCCCCTTGTGTGTCTCCCTGTGCCTCCCAGCTGGCATCATTGTCAACAGCACCACTGGCGCCCCTGCTGCTGCAAACACCACCAACGGCAACCCTCCTGCTGCTTTTCCTTCACATGCTAGCAGCAGCAGCAGCAGCAGCAGTGTTGGTGGCGATGTTGGCACCAGTTTTGGTAGCAATTATTATCCCGACATGTCGCCTACCGATCATACTTACGACACCACCGGCAGTACCACCGGCAGCAGCAGCAGTGTTGGTGGCGGTGCTGGCAGCAGTGTTGGTGGCGGTGCTGGCAGCAGTGTTGGTGGCGGTGCTGGCAGCAGTGTTGGTGGCGATTATAATCCCGACATGTCGCTTAATGGGTACAGTTACCTTTCGGACAGCAGCAGCACCACTGGCGGCACCAGCAGCAGCAGCAGCAGCAGCAATAGCGGCAGTTCCAGTGGCAGCATTCCGGGCAACAGCAACACCACTGCTGACGGTAGCAGTGGTGGTGATGGTGGTAGCAGTGGGGATAATGTGCCGATCGCCGCCCTGCTCGATGGCATGGCAGCATCCATGCTCACCTCACAAACCCTCTGGATCGCCATGTCATACCTGTGAGTTGCCGAACCGAACCTGTGAGTTACCGAGCATTTGAGTGGCCGAGCCTGTGGTAGCAGCAGGGAGAATGTACCTATTGCCACCCTGCTCGATGGCATGGCAGCATCCATGCTCACCTCACAAACCCTCTGGATCGCCATGTCATACCTGTGAGTTGCCGAACTGAACCTGTGAGTTACCGAGCCTTTGAGTGGCCGAGCCTGTGCATGGCCGAACCTGTGAGTGCCTGAGCCTAGGAGTAAACGACCTTGTTATTCTGTAACTTCTGGGAGCTTTCTTGCAGTTATATGTTGTGCCCTAGCCCTGAACTATGTCCTTATTCCCATTTTTTCTTCTCCCCCCTCCCTCCCCTCCTAACCCCCCTTGCCCACATCCCAGCATTCCCTACCTGGTGGTTGCAAGCCTTTGCCTAACTCTAAGTTACAACATTAATTCCCCCTTCCGCCCCTTGATTCTCCTCCCCATGCCCCCAGCATTCTGTACCTGGTGATTGCGAGCCTTGGCTTGGCTGGTGCTCATTACAGCAACGTGGTATGTGCTGCTGCTGCCACTGCTGTTATTGCTGCTGCTGCGGCTGCCCAATCCCTTCTCCTTGTATTCCTGTTCCTCCCTTCCGGTGATTGCAAGCCTTGGTTTGGCTGGTGCTCATTACAACAACGTAGTATGCTCTGCTGATTTTTCAGTCGACTCAAAAGTCACCACTGTTGCTACTGCTGCTTCTGCTGCCCCATCCCTGCTCCTTCCAATGCTGTTCCTCCCTTCTGCCGTTATCCGCCCCCCCTCGGCCCCCATCCCCTCCCACATTGTTCCTCCTCACCTCACCTCTTTTCCTGCATGGCTCCATCCCTGCCCATCCACCGCCTTTCTTACTTCCTTACTTTCTTTTCTCCTTCGTTCTGTCTTCCTTCCTTCCCAATGCAGTTTCCTGAACTCTGCCCTCTGCTGGTCTGTCCTCCGGTTTCTTCTCTCTGTGCTCTGTCGTAGATCCCTTATTTATGCAATAACTCACTGCCTTTTTCATCCCCGTTATTGCCTTCCCCATTACAGAGCATGATGACGCTGTACATCTTGATCCAGACTACAGTGACAATCATATCAGTCCTCGATTCTATTCGTCCTTTCCTCCTCTTCTGCATCCTGCTCATCCTTCTCGCCATCCACATCAGATTCCATATGCTATCTGTAAGTACACTTTGCACTCGATATAATGTACACCCTCCTCCAACCACCAAATTCTGCTTCCCCTTCGCATCAGTGGGTACGCTTCGTCCTCTATATAGCCTTTCTGCAACGCCAGGTTTCCTCGTTCCGTTTGCTAGAGTCCTCCTTTTCCACTGTCCCTTGTCCCCGGACCCCACTTCTCTGTACCGGATTCCCCCTCCCCTCCTCACCCCTACCCGATTACTTTCAGACTGAGCTCGCTGAGAGGTTTAGTTCCTCACCCAACCCACTCATCTCCTTTCCTCTCGTACCCGTCTCCACTCCCTTTCCCTGGCAGGGAACATCTCTGAACGTCGCTTGCTTGCAAGGCGTGTGGGCCAATGGAGCCCGCTGACCAGTTCCTCACCCAACCCACTCATCCCCTTTCTCCTTCCCGACTCCACTCCCTTTCTGGCAGATGGAAACGTCGCTGAACGTCGCTTGCTTGCAAGGCGTGTGGGCCAATTGAGCCCGCTGATCAGCATGGTTGTTTCCCCAACCCACCCTATCTTCCGCTGTTCCCTTCCTCCCGCCTCCCGCCTCCCGCCTCCCGCCTCCCACCTCCCGCCTCCCTCCCTTTGCTACCTTACCGACCTCCCGGACAGATGGAGCTAGCTGAACGCCGTTTGCTTGCAAGGCTTGTTAGCGGACCTGCAGATCTGCCTATCTCCCACCCTTCCACCCTCCCCACCTTCCCCCCTTCCCTTCTCTCCCTCTCCTCCTTTCTTTCAGATGGAGCTAGCTGAACGCCGTTTGCTTGCAAGGCTTGCAGGCCGATGGGTTGATTTTCTAGGTGCCTCAAAAAATTACCCTCCCGCTCTTTTCCCATCCTCTCTTTCTGCAGATGGAACTTGCTGAACGCCGTTTGCTTGCAAGGCTTGTCAGCCGACCTGCTCCCCCTCCTCGCACCGATACATGGCCTTACGTAAGAATGTCGCTCACAAAATCATGGGCCACGTAAGCATGTCAGAGTTGCTTTTGAGAGTTCTCAAATCGCAGCACCTCTCATCAGTTCATGTCTGCCTAGCCTTCATAAACCCACGCCTTCCTTTCCAGGCTACTGCAATTGCGTTTCACTAATCATCCCTGTTAATATTTCTCCTAATATTTCCCCCAGACGTTTGTTACTCGCCCTAAACTCCCTCCCTCTCTCTCAACTCACCCACAACCAACCCCTCCCCCCTCCATGTGCTTCTCGCTTCCTCTCTTCCCCAACCAATGGCTTCTCCTGAATTTCCAGCGGTTGCGAATGTTTCCTGGAAGTTTCTCAGACATGCTGAGGCACACACCAGTGTCGCGATTCAGAGTGAGCGGTGACCCGTGGTACCAGGAGATTGTAGTGCGGTACAGAGCAAGGAGAGCGGAGGAGGAGAGGGAGAGGGTGCAAGATTGTCGTGCACTTAACCCCCCTCTTTCCCCCAACACCCCCCCCCCCCCCTCCCTCTCCACCCCCTCCCCTCCTCCACCCAATAGCGTCTGCAAATGTTTCCTGGAAGCTTCTCGGATATGCTCAGGCACACACCAGTGTCGAGATTCAGAGCGAGCGGTGACCCGTGGTACCAGGAGATTGTAGTGCGGTACAGAGCAAGGAGAGCGGAGGAGGAGAGGGACGGGTTGCGAGAGAGCAATGAGAGGGGGCGTGGGGGCGAGGAGGAGGGAGGTGGAGTGGCAGCAGTGGGTGTGGGAAGGGAAGAGGGTCGAGAGCAACAGGGGCAGCGGAGGGAGCAGGGGAGATCACAGCACAGAAGGCAGCAACACATGTTGGGCCTGTGGGGGAGTGGGTGGGGGGGAGGGGGAGAGGGAGAGAGAGGGCGTGAGGAGGGGAGGGGGCAGGAGAGGGGGAGAAGAAGGCACGGGCACAGGAGGCAGCGCAGGAGGGATGGACCAAATATGGAGATGAGTGTTCTCGAGGTTACTTTGCATGCACTAAGTGAGCAGGTGCAACCCGTAACATACCCCTCTCCGGCAGGAGCAACCCATAGCCTGCCCACAATGCACCCCTACCCAGCACCGTTCACTCCGGTCGCAGCTGATCCTGTGCCAGTGTACTCGAACCTATCCCCCTCTCCTGTGCCCTCCCCTCCGGCTTTACATAGCTCTACTCTATTTCCCGACTCTTATCGTTCACCTGACCCGCTGCTAGGACACAACCATGTATGATTAGCTTGAATTTCGTATCTTTTACATGTTATCATATTCTTTGTTGGAAACAAGTGATTTAAGCGCCTCTGTCGCGTCGAAACACTAAGTCATAAACAAAGCGAAACACAGCGAAGCATCAGCGAGTCAACCCTCGGAGGTTGAGCAACTGCTGGAGGTTACGCGAAAGTCAAAGGTCAGCGACCTTTGACCTGACAAGTACAGCTCGACAGCAAGGACAAACAACTGACTCGTTATCGAGCAGTTGCCCGAGTCGTCTCTGTATCGAACCGCAACAGCAAACAGTAAAACAGTTATTAGTTGCATCTTTTCATATTCCTTGTACTCTTATAAAAGCCGTGTATCTCTTTGATTAATTAATCTACTTTGCCCTCACACACCAGCGCAAGGTGGTTCAAGACTTATCATTACACGCTTCCGCACTTACAACAAGTCCCACCCAGAGTTTGGCCTTGCAAAGATCCTAAGGGCTTTTCAGCCCAACATGGTATGAGAGCTATCAGGGCAAACTCAACTATCTCAAAGACACCTACAACATCAGAAGACATGGCAACTCAGAAGGAGAGAAGCTCCTCTAACGGCTCTCCCGGTACTACTCCTACTCCACCTCCTGCCTCTGGCCTACAAACAGAGGAGGGCACGGCAACAAGACCAGCAGCTCTACTGAAACTCCCGCAAATCAAGCCGCGGGCTTCGACCCAAGTATGATGGAGAAGTTCTTCTCCTTCATGTCCTTTTACGAACAACACCAGCAAGGGGCACCACCTGCGCAGTCAAACAACAGCAACAACAACAATGACGTGACACCGATGAGCCTCGACGGTTCATCCTACGCGCGAGGAAATCAGCAACAACAACCTACCTTCGCCCCGTACGAACCCCAGCGCGGTTCCGTCAGCTTCATGCCGCGCCAGCAGCCTTCACCTGAGCAAGAGAAGACATTGGATGCACTTCAAGTTCAGTCGCAGTTTGCACACGTCCTAAAACTGCAAACATCAAGGCCATTCGACGGCAAAGACTTCTTTACCTGGTCATTCGAATTCGAGCTGATGATGAAAGGCGCGCAAATCCTTGGATTCTTCGACGGGTCCCTGCCATACCCAACACATGGGACACAATATGACAAACAACAGTATACATATCAGTCCATGATGGCGTACACAATTCTACTGCGCAACGTCACACCGAACCAGCAGCAGAACATCCGGTCTTATCGGGGATACGGCAACTCCGCCGAGCTTGCGTACAACCACTTGAAGAACCTGTATCAAGCAACAGACAGCGTCAACCAGAGTCGGTTAATGGCACAACTGACAACAGTGGAAATGAAACCGGGCGAAAAGGGAATGGCGTATATCAGTCGCTGTCGCGAATTGCGCGACAAACTCCTTCGATGTGGAGGGTCGATATCGGAAGACGCCTTCGTCACAGTTGTTATTGGCGGTCTTGGTCCTCACTGGCGCTCCACTCGCGCCATACTCCGAGCTCACGGGAAGATCTCCGAAGCAGCACTCTGCGCCGAAATTCACGCTGAGCAGCAAGACATGGACCTGCAAGAGGAGCGACACAAGAAGAAAACGCCAGTACCCGAATTTGCGTTCCACACATAACGGCGCTACAACAACAACAACAACCGGTATCAACCAAAACCCGTACCTCCATTCTGTCATCTCTGCAAGACTTCAGGGCACCCTCGCACACACTGCCCAAATCGACAGCAATCAACACCACCACAACGTCAACTTCGCCCTTCAAGCAGTCAGGTAGCGTCCACACAGGCGCACCCCACAAGCCAGCCGCAGTCTTCAACAGCATCGTCAACACAATCTGCACAAGGAGCAAGAAACATCGTCAGCTGCATGGCAGGATTGACTGACTCCTGCATCACCGAGTCACCACCGCACTACTCACCGGAAGAGCAACTCGACAACAGTACCCCTCGCCGCGAGTCACTTCAACCGAACCCGACGTATGCAGCCATCGCTCAAAGCGAGCCGTCCGGGAAAGACACTTGGTTCTTGGACAGTTGCTGCGGGCAGCATATGTGCTCTGCGGGTTGATTCGTTCAACGCGAACACCAACTCCAGCGCGAAGTCGTCATCACCGTCGCCAACAACCAGAACCTGCGCACACGACGGCAAGGAGTTGTTCAACTTCAGTCAAGTGAAACAAACGTGATACTACAGATGTCAAAGGTCTTAATCGCGGAGGGACTCGGCTACAACTTACTGAGTGTCAGTCAACTGATGGCGAAAGGCATTCACCTCGAAGCAGACATCACCACCCAGGAGTTCAAGTTGTATCACGGGAAAGGCGGACTTTACATCGGAAAGGCTGTGTTGAAGAACAATGTCTTCGTCCTCGACTTCGTTCCAGATCTCGGCACCGCCGACAGCGATGGAATCGTCACCTTCACCTCCTGGACGCACCCACCGGATCTTGATCCCGACTTTAGTCCAGGCGGCTTCTGGTATTCGCACACCATACCTGAAACAGAAAGAACGAGAGCATTAGCAACAATTCAATCGGCAGCAGCAGAGACAGCATCGGCAGCAGCAGAGACAACATCGGCAGCAGCAAAGACAGCATCGGCACCAATCGCGGGTCCTTCAACTGCACCAGCTCCAATTGACGATGACACTCCACCGACTCCTGCGCAGCAACTAAATCCGACACCACGGGAAGTCCATCGAAGCGCAAATTTCACTGCAGGCTTCTACTCCAACTCCGACTTATACCGACGCTCACCCGGACATCGCGCCGACGAAGATCTCTGGCATAAACGAATGGGACATCCGAGCAACACGACGTTAAACAACACGATACGAGCAGGCGTTCTTGATAAAGACTCACTACTCTTACCCGACGGCAGAGAACTTCGACGAATGCGAGGAACTTGCTTCACCTGCCCAGAAGCTGACTTACCGCATCAGCCCTTCGTTTCCCACCACAACCCAAGTGCACCAGCGTACGCACCTTTGGAGAAGGTCTACAGCGATATACTTTACAATCGCGAACCCGGTCAAGGAGCATACAACTACACCATCACGTTCATCGACGCCGCCACTCGTTATGTCTGGCATCTCAACCTTCCAAGACGCGACATGGCCTTCGAAGCCTTCGTTGCCTGGCTCCCAGTAGCAGAACGGGAATCGGGAGTTAAGCTAAAGAGCTTCCAGTCTGACGGGGGAGGAGAATACACCTCACAGAGGTTCAAGCAGTACTTGGCAGAGAGAGGAATCAAGCGGCTCAACTCTCTTCCCTACGCCCACCAACAGCAAGGCGTAGCAGAAAGGATGATCAGGACTCTCCAGAACACCATGCGCAAGCTGCTACGTGGCATGCGGCTACCCAACCACCAATGGCCCGAAGCAATGGACCACGCTGTCATGCTGCACAACTTGCTCTCATCATCATCGCTCCCGAACAACGCATCATCGCACCTGTTGTGGACAGGAAAACAGGGCAGCACAAAAATGTTGCGAAATTTCGGCTGCATGGTACAGTACCGACCCCCAGCTGCACGCGCCGGCCGATTCTCCCAACGCGCACAGTGGGGACTACACCTGGGCATTGAAAAAAATTACAACGCGTGGAAGATTTTCGACGTCCATTCAAAGGAAACAGTAGCAGCACGTGATGTCATTTTCTACGAGCGACTCACACTTCCGACGTACCTTGCCAACCTGGAAGAAGACCGAGACCCCACAGGTGGTTTTCATGGTGACCGAGCCTTCGCCTCGGCAACAGACGAAGCTGACTGGGACGAGCAGAACGTGGATGAAGCCTCGGAGGAAGCCGGACCTCTCCCTTACTGCTCCGTCGACGTCCCAATGGATGACGAAAATCCTCGCGAAAGCGTCAACGCCGAAGTATATTACCACTTCGCCGACAACGGTTACGTTACACCTGCAAGAGTCAACACCAATGAAGCAGAACGCATAGGGCCCAATTTCATACCTGACCCAGAAGCGGGAGACGAAGCAGCTTATCCCGAGGACACGACACTTCCCCGCTACACACAGAGTGGCTTCCAGATACTCGGCCTCGTCACCGCGGTCCACGGCACAGCGATTCCTAAGGAGCCTGCCACCGTTCAGCAGGCTCTGGGGGGGGAGCATAAGGAAAAATGGCGCGAAGCCATGGACAGGGAGCTGAAAGCGCTGGAAGAACGGAACACCTGGAAAATCGTTCCCATCGGCGTGGCACGCAACAAAACGGTACTCACCGGAAAATGGGTTTTCCGTGTGAAAACAAAGGCAGACGGCACCATCGACAAATTTAAGGCGCGCTGGGTCGTGCGCGGTTTCGACCAAGAGCACGGACGCGATTTCACCGAGACGTTCGCCCCGGTCAGCCGACACACCTCGCTTCGAATTCTCCTCGCTTTCGCCGCCATAAAGAAGAAGAAGCTGCGGCAAATCGACGTCGCTAATGCATTTCTCTACGCACCTGTTGACGTCGAAATCTTCGTCGAACTGCCACACGGATCAAACGGAGAACCTAACCAAGTCTGTCAGCTGCTGAAGTCCCTGTACGGTATCAAACAGGCTCCGAGACTGTGGCAACAGTACCTATACGCTAGACTTATCCGCATCGGATTCCGCCAACTACCGCACGGCCAGGGCATGTACTGGCTCACAAAAGGTGACGACTACATTCTGCTCATCGTCTACGTGGACGATCTGCTCTACATCGGCTCAACTGACGGCGTCACTACCTGGTTCGAAGGGGAGCTGCAGCAGGACCTTACTCTCACAGTGTCATCGACCGTCACGCAATATCTCGGCCTCAACATCCAGGAAGAGGAAGGCGCAATCTATCTCAACGCCGCGAAATACGCTGACACCATCGCCAAACGCTTCGGTCTCACCCCGACCACTATCTCCACGCCATATCGCTACGCCGTCGGAAATCATAAAGAAAGCTCCGCTCCACTCAAGCCCGCCGGCATACGCGACTACCAGAGAAAGCTGGGATGCCTCCTCTTCGCGGCCGTC